GAATGATAATCAACTGCGATAGGTGTCATAACAATGTTTAAAAGTTTCTTTGACGTAAAAAATGTTCACTCATAAACTCATCCAAAAACAATTTTACATAAATGAAGAAATTTTATTGAAAATCTTGTAGCATATAATAATTACAGTTTTTCTCAATTAACGCTATACTTTAGTGTTGTATTTTTTAATATTAATTGTGTAAATACTGGATCATCAAAAATGGCTTTGTACGCATTTTCTTAATTTTTCGGTTCTTCGATAAATAAATTGATATAAAGCTTTGGCATTCAACATCAAAACCTCTTTTCATAAATAAACTAATGGAGTACATTTTATCCGTTTTGAGATTGCGAGTGAACTTTGAGCTTGTGATGCTTTTTTTGTTGCAATTTTTGAAAATACAGAGTTTGCGTAAAATGGACTTGCATTTAAAGAAAACATTTGAGAGAACATTTTCTTAATTGTCTACATTTTACGAAATTACTCAAAAGCTGCTCGTATTTTCGAATATTTGAAGGGATTGAGGCAACATAGTGCTAACCCTCATTTTTTTTAATTTTAGGCCAGAGCAAGCAGAAAGTTTGTGTAAATCCCAACATGTTTCAGTTGTGTGTTGTATGCATTTACTGCCATTTTCTAATCACACATTGTAGTCTTATGAACAAGGTTTTACAGAACATGAAAAAAACAACGTTTTTTAATAAATAAATTTAGAAAAAAGATGCGGCCACTTACCTCATGCAGCATCTCCTATATTAATGCCTCTAGCCTCTCGACAGCGGTATAGCTCTGAACACCACAATGGACCAAACGTCAGTCACAAGTATCCCGTGTCATAAATAAAATTTTCTATATAATTCCATACATGACCTCTCTGTAGACGTTTATTCATATGTACAATACATTAACTGTGCTAGGAATCAATATAACTAGTTGTAAATAGAATCACAATGTTGCTGCTTGTGTCTTATCGTTTTCTTATCTTTCCGCTCTCACGCTACAGCTTTTGCCCGGCGCGGCGACAACCTCGAGGCGGGCAAGGGGAGGCGAACGCGTGCTCTGGCCCAGACAGACCATCTATTGTATCACCACATGACGGATTTCACTCTTGTTGAAGAGGGGCGGGAATGGATGGAGTGCATGGTTGTCGCGTCAGGCTCCAAAGAGTATCGGCGAGGGATCAAATGCATAACGGAATATACTATGGAGAGCTAGGAAGACCTGCGAAGATCCTGAAGAGGGTCGCAGTTGTGCTTCTAGTAGTTGTGCCTCTGGGGACACTTACCAGAGATCTGAAGACTCCCCAGAGCATCACGAGATGCTCTATCCTAGCAATGCTAAATATTTGAGTCCAATTCTCAGTATCTATTACAATTGGTCGTACAACGAAATTTTTACAGGTTGCTGATACATCACTCATAATAACACTGAAACAACGGTGTTCAAAAATCTTTACAATTTAAAAATTTCAAAATGCATTTTTTACCGGGTTTTCCAGTAAATAAAGGTTTGCAGAATGGATATAACTATCGTAATCAGAAATAAATTGTTTTAGGAAATGTAAGAGTAAATGTAAATTAACAACCGAAATGTTCGGTTTTCTATTTCAAATGAAAGCTGAAAAACAAATTAGTTTTAAAAATATCAACTTTCGGGAAATGGGCTTTAAAGATGGAACCCTCCGAACGCGCCAGTTTGATAATATGCTTGATAGGGATACATATTTTCCAATAACTACCTTTAGAGTATTCTTCATATTGGTTTCGTGCTTTTTTATGTTTACCTTCACAACATAAAGTTTCCAATTTAATTTTGGCATGACTAAGTCTTTCAGTATTTATGCGCTGCATTGTGTAACAGTATCTAAACGTTTTGCAGCCAATACCCAAGCCCAATGAGAATGACTTCACATGTAAGTAGTAAAAAATACTTATAATAATAGTGATATCACCATAATTTAAACGTTAATTTAAAGAGAAAATATGAAAGATTATCAAAAATAAAATAAAAATTTAACAAAAATAAACAATTTCTTGAGTGCAAAATCAATTTCTACAAAATCATTTCCCCTTGAATACTCTAGACCAGGGGCCATATTATCTTGGGAGCTGGATATGAAGTTTTTAAGAACCTTGAGAGCAAAACTTTGAATTTCATGATTATTATCAATTATCGAATATTTTTTTAAATAAATTTTAATTAAAAATGACACAACAGTTAATAATTCACAAATTTATTCTTCAAATTTCTTCCTTGGAATTTTGTCATACATTGCATCATCATAATCTTTGAGGTAAATTAACTCATAAAATGGACTGTGAAAAAATTTTATGTATCTGGAGTTAATTCAAGGCAGTAAAACTATTTTGTACTACTGCATTATCAGTTTTTAAATGATTTACAAACCAAATAACTGCTATATGGACCAAGAAGTCAGTAACAATAGTAAATAAGGGGCCTCCAAATTTCAAGTTAATTTAATATTTCGCCCAAATTCTTATATCTTGCAATAAAATATTACATCCTGTGTCACGACTAAATTAAATTAGAATATACTTTGAGTTGGCGGCCACATAGAATGCTCCCGATATCCAGAATGGCTCTGATTTAGTCTATGCTTGTGATCCTGATGTAATAATAGAAACGGAATTTTGGAATTTTGGTTGGAATAATTTGGAATTGGTTAACACAAGTTTTTCATCCAAATTACAGGTTTTTTAGGAGGGCTAGAAGTAGTGGAGGTAGGATATTTATTTGTGTTAAGGATGCAATAGGTATATGGAGAAATTGGTACAGTAAACAGTTAATGGGGATAGAAATGAGTGATTCAGGAAACATGTTAGAAATTATTATTGAATACTATAAGCCATCGAATGAAAATTCTTCATTTTTAAAAGCTATTTCTGATAAAATAGAAAAAGCAGATCGACATCCTATAATTATCGCTGGCGATTTAAGTACTCCAGACGCAAATTGGAAAGGTGCTATGAGCAAAACTATCGTACATCCGTTAGTGAACCAACTCGTCTGGGAAGGGGGATTAGCGCAGGTAGATAAAACGACGCGGCAGGCGGCGCTTCTAGATGTGTACTTAAGAAATTCTCTTGCAGCTGAATTATCTTGCGACGTCATGGAGAGCATAAGCGACCGCAAACCCGTGTTAGTTGACTTAGACATAAATATTTCACAGAAAAGAATTCCTAACGGAACAAAAAGTTCAAGAAGGCAAATACATAGCAGCATCACCATTACCACAATTCAATTGTTTTCTGAGAATGGGCAGGGGCGTGGAGGAAATCTGGAACGCGTGTAAGAGCAATCTAGATAATGCATTGCGAACGTTTGTAACGATAAAAAAATTCAGATCCAGAATATTACAATGCGAAAATTCGATGAATGAAGGAAAAAAACAGAAATGATTTCAATAACAGGCATCGTAGGGAAAATCACATTATACATTTTTGTAATTTTTGAAAAGGGTTAGAGTGAGAAATGAAAAGTGTGTCGGAGACATTTTTAAAGCATATTCTTTACAGGGAGGGAAATAATTGATCAGGGTTTTACAAATATGATCGCAGAAGAAGATATAAAGACGAAATTCATATCTTTAGTTATACCAAGAACATCTCGCTACTAGATTATCAGGAAAAAGTAAAGGCAATTAATACTACAGTTCCATTTTCAAAACAAAAAATCTCAGAACATTCAGATATCGAACGAGACTGTACCAAATCAGTTTAATATAGAAGTAAATACATGGCGAAACGAATTAAATCTATGAAAAAAGGAAAGACGCGATATAGAGATGCGATTTCAACAGGCATAATTATACTCGATGGAGAGGCAAATTTACTGTATCTAACAGAATTATTTCATGCTTCTGTCAAAATTCAAACGCGTCCGACGATTGGAAGGTGACTACCATTGTTTTGATTTTTTATTGGTGACGGAACAGTATTAGCCAATTATAGACCGGTGAAACTCAAGTCAGTCATATGTAAGCTAATGGAAACATTTGCTAACTAGTTATATTAGAAATGAATGGTAACAAAAAGAATGGCTATTTCTAGGACAGCATGGTTTTAGGAATGATTTCTCTTGCAAGAATCTGATTGTACCGATGTTCCAGGATATAGCAGATAACGTTGATGATAGGGGGAGGGCGGATGCGTTAATAATAGATTTTGCAAAGGTATTTGATTTGATTTGGTTTAAAAAAATACTGTATTCGGGTATTGATACCAGACTCCTGACGCGGATTAATGTACTTCTTTGAGATTGGAAACAGAAAGTCCGAATTGGACAACAATTTTCAACTCTAGCGGAGATAAATTAAGGGTTTCTCAAGGAAATATTATTGGACCTCTCCTGTTTCTCGCGTTCGTAAATGACCTGCCAGCCAATTTATTTTGAAAGATACGACTATTTGCAGATGACTGTACAATATATCGAGTTATTCAAGAAAAAGTAAACGAGAATATTTTGTAGGGTGATCTGGGTGGACATTTCTGAGCGAGAAAAATAGCATGACAATAAATAGTTTGAAAAGTAAAAAATCACGTTTGGTAGGAGTCGCAAATTCAGTGAAACTCAACTCTGTTTAGGCAACGAAAGTGTACCAGGAGTCTTTGTTTGTAAGTAGTACTTGGGACTAACTTTTTATAGCAAATTGTGTTGAGAAAATCAGTCGCAAATATAAACTTTTCCGTAGGGAAAACCTGGAGGTTTTTGCTTTTTACTATGCGAATACTAAAAAAAAGTACGAAAGCGATAGAATTAGCTTACTTATCTCTTGTATGTCCATTAATGTAATAAGGGGCAGAGTGTTGGGAAACTCATAGAACTTTACAAGAGGAAAATATAAACAGAGTTCAAAGAAGAAACGTGTAAGAGCGTAAGCTTCCGCACCCGGACATCCTAGTAAATAAGAAACGTTCGCCATTTTTATAATAGGCTACACAACTGTCTCTACCTGGGGAAAGGAAAGATGTGATGATAACCGTAGTTGACTCGATGCAGTTGCAGATGCAGCGGGCGTCCCGTACGGTAGTCTCTCGTGTCGCCGCCAGAAGCCGCTCCAGGGCCACTGCTGAGTGTGTTATTGTAGCTCCCGTGCCGCCCTCCTGGTAAGTCATAAGAGTAGTGAAAATGTTAATAAAAATAATACTAGTAAAGTAATCTATACCCAAGGGTTTAGAAAAATAGGTTTCTACTGAACCAAAAACTGTGATATTTTTAAATTAAAGGTAGTGGACCCCAGATGTGTTAGTACGTGCTACAAATAACAGCCTTAATGATATAAATACTAAATTTTTAAAACGTCTTAAAATAAACAGGATGAACGATGAACTTCCGCAATTTGTTCATTGTGTCATTTTCAAGTCCATATACTGTAGTTGGCCTTGCTTCTTTTGGAGTTTCGAGTAGCAATCATTGATATACTTAGTGTATACATCACTGATGGCTGTACACTCGACGCTGCGCAGAGGGTCTAACTTAGGGGCTACGACTGCGACTTGAGAAATTTTGACACGAAGTCTTTCGAGTTCCGCCTGTGATTTTTAAATTGCCGACATTCGAAATTCCTCTTGTTCAGGGTGATTCGTATTAACGTATTTTTTCTCTCTTAGTTTTGTTAGAGTTTCAGCTCAGGAATTGTTAAATTATTACACGTGCGTGATTATTTCTCAACAATTTGTACCTAAGTAATTAATACAAAAGTATAACTAATATCAATTATATATAAATGAGAATAATTATTGACAAAAGTATTGATGTGTCTGATCATTTTAAAATAATTAAAAATGAAACTGTTTTATCATTATAAGAAAGCATCAAACACTAAAACAACAATAAATTTTTATCAATCCGTTTTCACCAAGAAATTATTAAAAACGATCATTACTTTATTCACTATTAATTCACTTTTTCAATAATATAGGTACGCTTATTACAGACTGAAAAGTATTTAAAATTAAATTTTTTTGAATTGCTAGTTGCTGTATTTAATAAATGACAGTACTTCAGTTTTCGTGGTTGTGTTCTTATGAAAGTCCTTAAAAAGTGTTCTTCCATGAATAATATTGCTTCTCTTTCACGTACGTCAAACTATTTTTCGTTGTGTGTGCAAGTGTATCTTAAATTCTTCAATATCTTTTCAATGAACACGTATAACCAGAAAAATCCAGTCTCATCGTATTTAATGTCTTCGAACATATGCGAGATTCATGTGTAACAATAATCATTACATATTAATTCATGTTAATTATTACAGATGCCCCTGAAATCAGTAATATAACAGCATAATTACTTTTTATTGTATATATTTATATATACAGTTCTCTCGCCACATACTGTGGTATGTGACGTGAATTGGTCTGAAGCAATGAGGTAGGATTTTGCTAGGATTTGTTGCTTTTTCTCTCGGCCAAGGTTCAGCCTTGCCGCTCATCTCACTCACACGAACTCGCGGAGGCGATCAGGTTCTGCCTTGGCGAAGGATATGAACATGGTATCAAGTTTTGTCCCCGCCTGTCATTAATGTTTTGAGATTCCTTTTATCTGTCAAGTAGGTGGGGCTATATGCGTAATAATGAGTAGCCACAGCACATCGAAGTGTCGGAGTCGTTTACATGCTGCCGGCACTATATTTGTAGATTAATTAATTAGGGATTCCAAGCTCGTTAAGTACTCTGGTCATTGTGTAAGTAAGAAAGTAAGTGCAAAGCATTCCCATCCCTCGGGAGGTGGGAAATTTCCCCGCGGGGAAGTGAGATTCGGCACCGACCAACATATCGACTAGCGGGGTTTTCCCCAAACAGGTACATCCTACCAGCGGGAAACCGCACCTGCCCGCTCTATTCTCACGACCGGCTTCCCGGCAAGTTTGGTAGTACAGTGCATGTAAGTGTAAGTAAAGGGTAAGTAAAGGAAGGAGAAGTAAAGATCGCGCGCATTCCGTGGCCCTTTTGTTAGAGTGCCTGATTGTTAGAGAGACTGATTAGGCATTCGCCTGGTGTTGATTGAAGAAACCAAGGAAAATTACCGATCAGAGCAGCCGTCCTGAAGAATTCTTCTCCAGACAGCGACTAAATTCGACCTAGCTGTGTGGCTAGTGTCCAAAATTTTCCTACTGTTGGGACTCAAACCTAGTACCTCCCGGTCAGAGGCACTGCAGTAACATCAGTCGACGCCCTGAGCCACCTTGTGGCCGTCGCGAAACGCGGCATCGCAAATGCAGAAACCTTTCCTCCACGCAGGTACGACGCGCTGATCGAGAGGGCGACGCCGGTCTTCCTCCAGCAGGTGTCGCTGGCGCGCTGCCTCCCGCCGTGCGCCACCGGCGCCAGGGCACGCGCCTTCCGCGCCAACGCGCGCCGTCTCCTCGCCAGCGGGATGAGTGCCGTGGCGCTAGACGCGCGCTCTGGGCGGTGGGCCGGCGCGCTACTCGCCGGCCCGCTCACGCGCCGCCAAGTCTTTGGAGAGGACTTGGACGCCTTAGGTGCGTTCATTGCATTCGACTAAAAAAAAGGTTTATTCACCAGCAGCCAGCCTGATTAAAGAAATGGAATTACAAAATTAAAAATGTCGGAGGTAAACTATTAAAAAATATTTTATTTTTAAGGAAATGCTATTTTAAAATTGACAAACTTAGATGTAAAAAATGTACGATGTGAAATAAACAATTCGGACTAAAGATGTTGGAACACAGTTTGGAGTTGTGATCCATTAATATATACCAACGTGCGGCGTCTTCTGGCCAGAATTGAATTGAATTGAATTGAATTGAATTGATGTCTTATTTTGCGTTGCGAGACTCGCGCCATCAGGCTCGTTCTTCCGTCTGACCACGCAAATTTCGCTACGCTACTTTCACCAACTAGCTGAGGAAAAAGCGTATTTCTTGGGCGATGAAACAGGCGATTTTGAATTTAGCTCAGAGGCGTCATTTAGTTTTGAGAATCGTCTACATGCAAGTAAATCTACTAACATGGGACAGCCGGCTTTGCTTCCCCTCCGAAGGAAGGTGTACGTAGGATTTTTTCGCCCTTAAAAATTCTATTCTTTCGTCAAAATTATGTTTTTAATTATGCAATTTATATTTTCATTTTATTCCATTGTCCTTAGATTCTATTTTTCACACTTAAATGATATTCTATAATACACAAATTGAAATTTTCATTTAGATATTTTGTTGATTTTGTAGCTTTAAGAATGGCAACAATGTGACTAAACGAGCGGTATACAGAAATATGCAGTTGCAACAAAACAAGACCTCATACTTAATTCTACAATTATATAGTTCAGTTCCGCTTAGCTGAACATACGTATGACGGATTAGTAGTTAAATTAAAAGTTTTTTGTTTGAGGTCAATTAGGTGGCATTGTACTTCCTCTAGGAAGCTTCATCTTGAGACTTGCATGGCTAGTTAAATAGCGGTTATGAAATGTTGCTGGCCACTCCCGTGATTTCTGGTGCTAAGCCGCTGTTTTAATAAAATTTCCTTCAGACTCACTGCCCTGCAATTCATAAATGAATGGATGAAAACCAGTGATATTTTATAAATTCTGATAAATTTGTTTATTTAAGTCAACAGCAGTGTAAAGTCGTATTGATGTGTTTCATCATTATAACTACAGCATTTCAGTTGTTTATTAAAACGACGATACTACATTGCCACTGACATATAGCCTTAAATAAACACGTTTTTCTCAAAATTTATAAAATTCCACTTACACCGCTATGGTTTTCACCTATTAAAATATTAATTCGTCTTACTGCAAAGACTGCATTTATAACCTGACATTGAAATCATCTAGTAACAACACGATGTCATTGAGTGATTTCATTTATTTAATAGTTTCACGTTGTTAAAAACAACTTTGTTACCCAGCATTCTTTATATTATTTAATTTAATTTTTCCAAGTAAGACAAACTTCATAATTCTTGTCCTTGAAAAGTCCATAAATTTCTCTTAATCAGCTATTGTAGCGTCACGTTGGCTGCCCTGCGTAGGTGAAGGACGCGGAAGCCTCTCAAAGCAGAGAACTGTAGCTAGCAGCCATGGCGTTGGGGGTGGCTGATATTTTTAGAGCCATGTAGACACGAGCGTGTAGTGTATCAAGAGTCACGTGACAGTAAACCTCCCTCCCACGTTCAACGGTGGTCACGTGGGGATAAGCCGGGGTGTATAAATTGGACCGACTCGCACACGCCGCAGTGTTTTTGCTTTGCAAACCTTGTTTTTGGCGCGAAATTCACGCCAGGCTGGTGCGTATTCGTCCGTTGTACGGGCGTCGGAGGTCACGTGAGTGGTGCGTTGGAAGCGTACCCTCGGCATATACGAGGCAGGGCCTCTCTTGTAAATATGGAGTTTCCACAGGATGGAACGATCGCGGCTGGCGGTCGGGAGATATCCGAAAGTGTGTACGGGGAAGTCGATACATTTTTAAATTTTGTAACTAAAAATGTATATAAAGAATTGAAATCTGTTCATGGGATGGGTTAATGTGGTTTGCGAAACAAATTAGTTACGCCAACATTTCGAAATATATAATGTCTTCATCAGGGCTACAGTATAAACAATGAACAGTGCATGAGGACAACATATATTACAATAAATTGATTGTTGAATAATTAGCACAAATAAAACAAAAAAATAAATTTAAAATTGTGAACTAGGATAAATAAAACATTAAAAATCTAGGAAGTGCAGATTTATATATTCTTAATTTAGTTTATTTTGTTAAATGTTTGTCCTATAATATTTTATTTAGCATTGATATAGGTGGTCTTTCTTTATTTTCTTCATGTTCTAACATCTTAATTTCCTACCTTTTTATTTCGGCTCTCAAATATTTAAATTCTTATCAGCATTGAATTTTTCCTGCAAAATTAAATCTGTTTTTTTTATTCACGCCTTATAAAATGTCTTTTGTACATAAATTTTTAGTCTCCGTTTCTTGTATGCGTCTAATAATTTCCACGTTTTTGAGTGATTTTATTGTTTTATTTTTAGGGGCCGAAGAGGAAGATCCTTACCATAGGCACCGGAAACGGTTCTTCACCGCCGTGCACCGACGTGTCGACCTGTTTTCACTGCTAGGCGTATCCGAAATCGTGGACTTTGCATACGGATTTGTGGATGAATCGTACCAAGACAACGGTAAGACTCATTAAAATTCAACTAAAGAAAAATAAGGAGTTAAAAATTCAATTTTTTTTTCAAAAAATAGTAATAATGTCAATCCGCAACAATAGTGGCGATCCGATGGCCGAGATTGCTAAGGTCGAAGTGCCGTAGCGGTTTCGGACCAGAAGATCGTGTGTTCGAGTTCAGCCTCAGACATGGTTGTGTTGTGTGGGTCTCTGTATGTGTCTACTTCATCATTCATCATCATCATCACCACCTGGGATATAAAAATGGAATCAGAATTAAATTGCTGATTCCTTTCTGTAGAAAAAGGGACGTGCACGTACCCCGATAATTCAAGTCTGAGCCCAGTGGGATGCACATATCGCGTGGTCCCATAATGTCCGATTCGCGAAACAAAATAAAAAAAAATTATGACAATAATTTATTATTATTATTATTATTATTATTATTATTGCTATTATTATTATTATTGCTATTATTGTTATAACAAAAATGAAAACTCGGGATGGCGAAGCTGGCGGAGTGACGCGAGTTAGAGATAATGCAGCAGATAGAGAGATAGAGTGAGAAAGGGAGATAGGAAGAAATTAGGAAATAAATATAGATAGATAGAATGTTAACGAAAAAAGTGAGAGATGGAGTTGTGGGGAGAGGTAGAGGGGGCTGTTTTTACTTGATAAGGTCTGTCCCTGAGCTTCCTTTTTTCACCTTGGCCAACAAGACAATACTCAGAAAAAAGTCACGTTTTCTGAAAGATATTTTTAGATCCCCTTGATTCAAATTCTTCCACATCTTATTTCATAATACCCATCTTTAACACCCCCTCTAAAACCATAACAATATAATACACAAATATTATTTCATTTTTCATCTTACCATAAAACGATTTTTTTGTTACGAGAAGTATGCGTATGTATTCTTAACTCTATAGAACCACCTGATCGAGCACATAGAAATGAAGGAAAAAAAACAGCAAATTATCGACCAATCTCAGTACTAATTTTCGGTTATTGAAATAATTATGGAAAGTTTTTTTGCATCTAGTAATTTTTGTATATTTTTTTGAATAATATTGTAATTAAATTAAATAAGTATCTTAAAGAAAATGATATCATTGACGAGGGCCAGTGCGGCTTTCAAAAAGTAAATAAAATGAATAATATTAATAATAACAATAATAATAATAATTATTAGTATTATCTAAATTATAAATTAATGAATCAAATTAAATTCTCCCTAGTGAATTTTAAATTACAATAACACTGTTGAAAACACAAATCTTTAAAAATATGGATGTTTTTTATCGATGTATTACTAACATCAAGGTTTTTGTAACGGCTAAATTTTGGTTAGTACTAAATATAGTACATCAGGTGTTAAGTTGAAGATGATGAAATAAAATTGCGATAATTTGTTAGATCAGTAACTTCACCATTTTCATAAATAGATCTAATGATGGCTACCTTTATGCAGTCCGGACAGACACCTCCCCTCATGATGTTGATGAGAGTGGATAACGTCTGACAGAATATTTAAATAATGTCGAGCCCTAATTTTATCGTAACTTCCACTTTTATTAACATTATTTTATTTTATTATTTCCTTAACTACCATTGGATTGGTAAGTGGGATATAACAGCTTACCTTTAGTTGTTTCTCATCCACGTTATCCATTTCACTACTATAAGTTAATTCCCTTCTATAATGCCATCAACTTGCTTCTGAAATTGTTCTCCATTGAGACTTGGAATAATCTTTTTTTACTGTACGTGTCTCATTATTTCTATACTTTGTGTAAGCCAGATTTTAAGAATTATTTTTTGGATTTGATTTCCATCTTTTGAAAATGGAATCTTTAGCATTTTATTTTACAGTGCATATTGTTAGAAATGCAGCCTTAGTCTCTTTTACTTTGGTGGGCCTTTTCATCAACAGTATATTTGATAGTTTTTCTTATGATTAAACTTATTTACCAACTCATTGCATAATAAATTAACATCGTAATTGGAGTATGCAGTCCAATCAGTCAATTTCATCATCCTGTTTGTATTCTTATTATCATATTTTAGTCTAAAATTGGGATTTACGCAAGGAATAGTAGAAGTTACTTTATTATTCTAAGTTAAATAAGAGAGTGGGAGAGTGGTCAGGGATTTTGTATTCTATATCTGAAGACTTTATCTCTTTCTTTTTAGAGCGAATGAAGGTAATATATTACAGTAATGTAGCTATCTTGATTTTTTTGGATTTCAGCAAAGCGTTCTATTTAGCAGATCATGACATCTTGCTCGCAAACGGATGAAAAGTTAACGAAGATTTGATAACCCTAAACTACTGAACTGCGTCTTTAAACCCAAATAAATCACAGTTCATGATTATCAGTTCCAAAAACACTATGAATAAAATTTCATCTTCTGCTCTGACTAAAATTTATATAAACGACACCGTTCTACCTTGGTGTTCTGAAGTCAAGATCCTAGGTGTATTTATTGTCGACACCCTCAGCTGGACCTCCCAAATAACTTAAACCTGCTTTAAAATTTTGCCTGAATGCATTCGCTGAAACGCCTTCAATCACTTTTCTCAATTAGTACACGTGAGCCTATCTTATTTTGCCACGTTTTGACTATTGCGACTAACCAATATAACAACTAAATTACAACGTATACTTCAAGTAGCCCAGTACGTATTCGAACGGTTTATTGTTGATGTAAGAAAATACAACCATCTATCGGACTTTTTTTGACATACTTCATATGCTTACTTTAGACAAAGTACGGTTTATCCACTCTCTATTTCTTCTTTATAAAGTTTTAAACGTTTCACATATATCATGCCTTATAAGTAACTTCAATCCAATAAAATTAAATCGAGCTCGTGAATCATCAATGCTTTGTGTACCACGTTACAACGCGACTTCGTTCGGCAGATTATCCACCAATACAGCCATCCAAACCTGCAATAAACTACCCGCGAGTCTAAAACATTCAAACACTTTCTGTAAATTCAAAAAATAATTAATTATATGGGTAAGGAATAATGGTATATAGAATGGCGTTAACTTCTTCAATCTCAAGACTTTTCCAACGTCCAAGCACTCAGTCACCGGCTTCACTAAACACCGTACTATCCCACTCTAAATTCAGAATTCCATTCCATATCCTCATTACTCAATCCTCATTTTCCATTCCATCCCACACCATGTAAATTATTAACAATCATACTTTTTTGTGTATTCTAATGAAATGGTGTAAATAAAAAATATAAAAAGTGAACAGTGACACTCCTCGTAACTATCTTCGTACTGTCATCGTAATCTCTATTACAATATATTGGCATAAATACAACTAATGTTAAGATCCAATTATACTTTTATATTGTTTCTTAATGTCAGTGTTGTTTTTTACTATATTACTGTTACTGCTATTCCTAATATTTTATCTACTACTATATACTTCTATTACTGTTGCTATTAACGTATAGTGTATTGTGTTTCTCTAATGTTAAAAAATATTTTATATTTATTTAAAGTACTAATGTAAACCAAACGTAACTTTTTGTAACTTCGCTGAAATAATTTCACTCTTCCGCCTTCTTCTTTCTCTTTTTCTTCGTTTCTTCTCCCTCCCTTTCGCTCACAAATTTCCCCATTTTCTCACCACAACCCCTTCCCCTGAACTTATTTTTTCTTCTCTTTCAGTACTATGTATATCATATTCTGCACCATTAATGTTCGGCTGTAAGCTGCCATCCTCATAGAGGTTTTGTCTGGTTTACTCAATCGCTTAAGGCGTACGCTGGGATGGTCCCTAGTTTTGCACTCCCAGATGTAAATGTACAGCTTGTTCTCCCCACTTAAAATGTTACTACTCTGTACGTATGTAAATTCAGTCATTAGGTGGAAGAGGATGCCCTATTGTCAGAGTTTCGCCTTTAATAAAGTCATTATTATTAATAATATAAATTATATTAATATTATTATTAATAATATATTATATTAATAATAATAAAATTAATAATAATAATAATAATAATAATAATAATAATTTTATTAGTAGTAATATCTTTTTGTGGAAGGACTATAGTTCGTGAACGTAGTGTAAATGATTTAACTTCATCCCAATACATGTTATCATCATGTATACATCAATCAGTTATAATATTTTCACTTTTACAAAATTGTGATTTTGGAACTTTAACACTCGCATGAAAGACATCGAAAAAGAACATCAGCTTTAATCAATCGATGTACAAATCAATGAAGGTTTTGAAAACGTATCGATGTTGCTTCTCTAATTTTTAAAACGATTCAGCACCCGCGGTGATGTTTGGACTGCTGTTGGACGTTTCTGAAGTTTTCCAAAGATTCCACCCAACGTGAGCAAAATAAATCGTATATATCACCAGAACATAATAAATGAACTGTTTAAATTTAAAAATTAGTTAGAAAAAAATACTGAAGCACACGTGAAGAAATCATAAGATGTAAAAATTAAATGTACCGGGAAATACCGTTACACGCCCGTAAAATAATATCTAAAATATCACGTAAAAAAATCTAACAGTTCTAAGTTCATTTCAGTAGCATCTACGATTTTCAGCGCATGAAGATAACGCCGTGGCAATCTTTTAAGCCTGTTTTATGCGGTCATTTTTGCGTCATTTGTTTGTATAGATAGTGGTTAGAAAAGTGTCGTTCATTTCTACGCGGTTCCGTTTTGGTATCGTAACTGCATGGAAGAGAACGAGTGTTTAAGACGGTCTTTCCTTATCTGCACTCAATTGTGACGAAAATATTTCTTCTGGCTGCCGCAAAAAGCGCTGAAGATCAAACAGTTGAACACAGAATTAATAGTTACAAATGAAATTAGGTTATACAAACGAGCTAGAATATACTATATAGAGTGACTATCCCTACTGTTTCAGCAGTCTTGGTGGAAGGAACTAGTGGCCGCCATGATTTTTGAAGTCAAAATATATGAGCGGCAATATATTCAAATGCTATACTGAATCGACGTTGTGGTTTTGTTCGTATAACAACTTATTTCTCTATTGTTTTTCATTCATTTGCAATAACATTCATGTCAGGCTTTATGCTAACTACGATAACATTTCAACAGCTTCCATTCTTTTGACAATATTCAATGCAAGAAGCAACATGTATTTAAAGTTTCTCAATTCGTTCTCGTAAAACATCGTCATTCCGTTTTTAAATTATTGGTTTTTGATTATGAGAACACACAATAAGAGGAATTATTTTATACGCGGCTCGCGCCCACCCGTTCATAACCAGCGACAAACGTGCTAGAATTCTTTGTCTCCAGAGATCGCTGCTTTGACTGCAAAACACATGGCTTCAATGTGCTTAAGTGGAGGCGCTTCAGTCACCCTATGTAATATATTCTAGCTCGTGGGATTGTAATAGGAATGAGGACGGAACGAAACGACATTAACATGTACATATTATATTTCTGGCAACATGAAACAATTTAACATATTAGAACGCTCTCAAAACTACAGAAAGGCATCAAATCGCACCACACGCATTGCAAACCAGAAAAGTTTCCCTAAGTGACTCCAGGACCTTAGTAGGCAATGTGAATGAAATCCAGGGACGACTAGAAGTGGGTGGGGGGCAGCTGGGGCTACTTGCTTCAGGCCCGGACTTAATTGGGGGCCCAAATTTCTTTTCACTCAAAATAAATAAAAAAATGAATTCATCTGTAATCCGAATTTAACTCTCTGTGTTATTTCTGAGGCATGTAGAAGCGAATTCTGTTTGTAAATTGGGGAAGGAGGGGATTTTGAGATTGAAATTAGGAACTCTCATGGTTCAAATGTCTCAGACTCCTGGTTGTCTCTGGGCACCCGTGATGAAATCAGTATCGAAAAATGAAGCATGCGTAATTTTTCGTACAAATTACTTACCATCTGGTACGTTACCTTTTTTGTACCGACAGAAAATGATGTAACAATGATGAGATAACTAGTAATTCATTTAATTTACAATGAGGCAAAAGTCCGTTTCTTCAACTTATTAATTTACCAATTTATGCAGATTTTGTCGTAATAAACAATTGTCAAATAATTACGGTGCACCTTAGAGAGACTCTTTGATACAGAAAAATCTCTTTTTTAATAATTATCATCTAAAATTTTATTAATCTGTCCCTACACGTAATTGGCTGAATTTTCTCCAAGTTCTATCCCTGCTTACGCCTTCCAATCAATTCTGTAGATAATGACGTCGACCTGACTTTTGAACGGTTGGTCACATTACAAGCCTCGCCTACTCCCGGTCGTCCTAGTACTGTAGTACTATTATATAGTATGTACTATATAGTAATAGTACTGTATGCAAGAGCATAAAGTTTGTGTGGAAATTCGGTACTTCAACGCGTCTTGGCATTCTGCTGATCCAATCAATGATGTAATCCAACGGTTGAGCTCCGGAATTTCTCGCTTGTGCTTGAAGTACAGCTTACAGGGAAATACATCTTATAGCACCCAGACTTTTAGATTACAAAAAAGAATTGTACGATTAATAAACAAATCCCACTCATGTGATTCTTGTAAGCCTCTCTTTGTTAATATTGGTGTTTTACCATTACATTGTCTCTTCGTATATGAATCAGTGGATTTTGTCAAAAATGACTTAAGGGCGGGAATATATTTTCAGCAAACGCCGTTGTCTATAACTACAACACTGGCGTAGTAATCATGTTCATCACAACTGTTTTATACAATTAGAGACTATTCCGAGCACCCAAAAGGAAAGTAACATAAATTTTAATAAAGACATTTAATGTATTATTTACCATTTAGATTCTATAATTCTAAAGAACCTGAAACAAGTATTGTACTTCAGGTTCTGATTCAATGACCCCCATCTTGATCATTGTTGGTCCAGTTTCCCTGATCCTTGAGCAAATGCCGAGATGGCCCCTTGTTTTGCTTCTGGACTTATATGTAACTTCAAATTAACTTCCTCATAGCACATCACACACAGTTTTAGCTGTTTTTGACGTATTAAATAAATAAATAACTAGAAGTGAATAAATCTTAAAAGTAAAGCCAAAAATTAAGAAAGTTAAGATCGTATTAGTACGGTATTTTTCCATGCTATTTACGTGATAATTTGCGTAGCTTAAAATTTCACATTACGATGAATTTATTTGTTAACTCAATCTTGTTATACAGCAGAATAAAGCAACTTTATTGTACCAGAATCAGGGCTTTCCACTCACATATAACGTGGTGGAGATGATGGAGATGGTGGAGTGGCGCTCTCTCCTGTAGCACTTTCTTACAGGAACTTAAATACGATCTGCTGCCAACGCACTTAAAACGTACTCACCATCCAGCGGGTCCAGCCACATCCCGGGATAAAACATTCACTACATCTTCGAGACTAATGACCACGACAGTTGCCTTGGCCGAAGACACCAATCAACCAACCAATCTATCAATCTATCAATCAATCAATCAACCAATCAATGAATCAATCAACCAATCAATGAATCAATCAACCAATACACACCTAGCATGTACCATTCTTCTTGTTCGCAGGTGTGCTATCGCGGTTGCTGGGGGCATCTGCAAAAGTAGCAGCTCAGCAAGGCTTCCGGGCCGGCAAAGGAGAATCCACGTTGCAGAAAATAGACACAACCATACTGAGAAGGGGCTTCACTCGCGTTTGCTCTGTGCCCTTGAAGGAGTACTCTTTCGAAGGCGAGGCAATTTTCGCAAGTGCCAAAGCGCCTGATAACATCCTCACAGTGTACGGATGTAGATTGATAAACGCGGCCCCTTATATTGTTCCTTTGACGAAACATGAAGTAAACCAGACTAAAGGAGAATATCCGTTTCATGAACCCTCCACCACGCGCGCCAATTCTCAGTAGAAATGCTGTATCGACTACAAAATACCCATGTTTCTAAACATCAAAATAAAAAACAACAACATGGACGTTAAGAACACAGCATTAAAAAACCATCGATGAGTCAAAACGTTTATACATTCAAAATAAAAAACATCGATATTAATCATCGCTCAAAAATAATTGATGTTTCAAAACATTAATATAAAAACATCTATGCTAATAATACATCGCTGAAAACCAACAATGTTTTGAAACGTCGAAATTCGACACAAAACTATCTGTTAATAATATAGTGCTTAAAAACCATCCAAGTTTCCATATATGAAAATAAAATATCTATGTAAATAATGCATTTCTCTAAAGCATGTTTCAAAACAACGGCGTTCGAAATAAAAGTGTCGATGTTATAAATATCTTAAAAAACTCTCTCAAAAACGGTGTTTTCTAAAGTGCTTTTATAATCTGTGATTTACTAGGGTGAATTTAATTTTACGGCGAATCATAAGATTGATTGATTGATTGTTAGTGATTTCGGATACATCAAATTCAAAGGTTATAAGTTCCGCAAGTGTTGTGCGTGTTTTTTTCCTCAGGAGGTGGTGTTGATGTTCCCCTACTGAATGGCAAGATCAGACACTGACCTACCGACGTCTAGAGAGTTTTTCTCTAACCAGGTATCTCCCACTAGCGGGCCAGTTTGGACAAGTTATAAGCTCCCGACCAGTCTCCCGGCATATGCGGTGGTGTAGTGCATGCTAGTGGAAATAAGGGGTGATGGTAAGACAGGGAAGGAAGAGAAAGGAAATATCGCGCGCAGTCCGTGGCCCATTTGTTAGGATACTGCTCCGGCATTCGCTTGGTGTTGATCAGAGAAACCACCGGAAAATAACTGATCAGAGCAGCCGGCCATTTGAATTCTCCTCCGGGATTCGACCTAGCTGTACAGGTAGAGTGGAAAATCCTGCCAATGTCGGGACTCGAATGTACGGCCTCCGGTCAGGGCCACTGCAGTGACGTCAGTTGATGTTCTGAGCCACCTCTGACGTGGGAGGAAGGTGAAGGTCGTACAGCTACTGCATGTGGGTTGAGCCACTTCCAGCGTACGAAATTCCAGGAAAGGTATGGGAAAAACCACGGCAGCGTGGTCATCGGTCATCGTATACTTGAGAAAGTCTACTGGATGATGGTAATAGAATCACCGTTATGGTCGAATGCAGGAACTGTCAATGATATAACCTGTTGTAGTCTCATATTTTAACTTGTGATTATTGAAATTTTTCTTTCACATCGGGTAAAAATCATTGATGTTCAAAACATCGATGTTTTGTAGAAATAAATGAATTTTTTGTTATTTTTAAGGTCGCATCAACTACTAGGTCATTAGCGACCACTATTGCGTAACGGTGGTAATGGTATAGTAACAATGAGGATATGATGATGATACGATGAACGACGAACACAATACCACCATGCCCGAGGCGGGACTCGAACCCGCGATCCATCGGTCTGAGATCGCTACGGCACTACTGCCTCGGCCATCCGGACCGGCAAGAAATGAATTGTTGTCATTTAAAAAGTAAATAGAAAAATACTGTAGTTCACGTGAAGCAGACATCATATGTAAAATTTAAATATTATCCTGTAACACGGTTACTTACACTCTACAGAATATCTAAAATATCGCCTATAAAATATTTGAAAATTCCGGATTTGCTTTAGTTGCATCAACGTTTTTCATCGCATAGAGATGAAGCCACGGCATGCTTCTTACGTGCTTTAGTTCTGTATCGTTCGTCAATTTTATCAATTATGCGAAGGGAAGGTAGTTGATGAATGCAACACATTATTGATAAGATATTGTTTCTCATCGTAGTAGTCGTGGTATATTTATCATAGTGAGGGTTTAGAATTATCTTTCGAACAATGTTTTCTTTGCTTTTTAAACATTTTCTTTATGTAATTCTTTCTTATTTTAAATATTATGACCAAAACAAACCAATTTCGTTAAACAGTTTTATTGAGGTTGCTCAACAGAACCAGAGTACCAGAAACAAGCGTAGTCACAAAATTTTGCCAGGTGATATGCCGGGGACTTGTCAGATCAAAACCGAAGAGATGTCAAATAACATTGCCGTGATCGCGATCCAGAAGCCAGAAGAGAAGTTCTTACACTCGCTCGCCGAGTCTTCACTCATCACATTTACTAACACTCCTCATTGCTCGCACTATTGCCGAGATTGCTTGAAGTTCCCTCTGTGCCCAATGGGCGCCGTTGTATACACAGATCGGGCTAAAGGCTCGCCGACTGGCCCGGCCGTAAGGGCGATGGCGCGCCCTGTCGCGCCGATTTAAGCGTGGCGGTTAAGCGACCTCTCGTGAGCGGTGCCCGTATTTTATGGGGGTGCAGCCGCCTCGCTGCTGCGTTCCTGTGGCGGTTCTTTTAAAGGGACGCGGGTGGAGACTTCACCAAATATCACAAATTGTATAAAAAAATAAACAGAAAAAACTAACGTGGAAGATTAAAAAATGTGGAAGAGTAAATCTTATCACCTAGCCCACGATTTTTGATCATTAACTATACAGCCCTTTTACAACATATGTCACAAGTGACTCTTCGTTGAGTATGTTTTCCGAACGCATTCCAGTGGCAGGTACCTCTTTATCATGAAAAGTGAAATATCCCTAGAATTCTAAAAAATACTTCGAGAGTTTTTGCAATAAAATGCCAGATTCTTCTTCAAATCAAAGGCAATAATAATTATAAAAATGTTAATAACAAATATATGTACTTAGTATTTGAAAACGTACTGTACGTTTAATGAAAGAAAAGAAGAAACATATCTGAAGCATTGGAATAAACTATTTCGGAACTAGGTACATCGCTAGGTCGATTTGAGCTGCTGTATGGAGGAGGGGCGGGCTTCTCTGATAGGTAGTTTGCAGTGGTCTCCGATCAACACCAGGCGAATGTCGAAGCAGGAACCTAAACGGACCACGCGCGGTCTTTCTTTCCTCTTCCCTGTCCATTCCTTCGTTACTCTTACATGCACTACATACCATACGTACCAGGAGACCGGTCGGGAGTTTAGAGCTTGTCCCGGCTGGGGCGGTGCCTCGGTGGTGGAGATACGTGGTTTGGGGAAAACCCCGCTAACTGACGGTAGGTCGGCGCCAGATTTCACCATCCAGCGGGGGAAGATCACCGTGGCCTGTAAGGAAAACACATACACTACACGTTCAGGGCGAATGACTTAAGCAGCTGACGTGCCCGGAATTGCTAATCAATCAATTATATGACTGAAGCACTAAGTGATACAGTGTCGTAAGGGTCAGATTTAGGAAAATGATATAGACCGCAAAACATTAATATATCCAAAAATAGGTGTTCCAATTTTTAAAATTTAAACTTAAAATACATTGATCCAAAACTATTGATGCTTTTATACATTGATTATTTAAAACAATTTTAGAAACCTTTAACATCAGTGTTCAAATAGATGGGAGTGATTTCATTTTTTATTAATCGTATTAATTTTTTAGTGAGATTTGGGAGAAAAAATTAATTTAAAAAATTAAGAGATAATAAAACTCAACTTTTATTATCTCTTTGGGTCTTATTAATACAATACACTCCATTTACCAACAAAAATTCCACTAGCTGGTTTTTCAACCTTCATCACATTATTCTGAACATATAGTGTTTATTATTATACTTTTCCATTCAAAAAAAATCATTTATGATAAACATTAAGCACAAAAAATCGGTCGTAATAAATCGATGTTAAGTACATCGATGTTATGAAAACATCGACATCGTTGCCACATGTCTCATTCTTTGAGTGCGGAAGACGTGAGTGGTACGATTGTCTTCGAGGTACCTCCCACTAAGATTGTTTTCCACAATTCTATAAACGAATTCATCGTATGAAAAATAGTTTAGAACCCTTTTTTAAACATTAATTCTGCGTACTTATTTGCATTTTCGATTTTAGTAAAATAACAGATCCGAAGCACAAAATTTGGAAATCGTTTACAGAGGAAAGTGAAGAAGAGATATAATTACTTTTTATGATGCCTTTACTGTTTTGATCCACTTATTGGATTTTTGTACTTTTGCTTTCGATTACAAAAATAGAAGGATTTCAGGAAGAAAATTTTCCTGATGGTAGCAACATATTTAACATATTTTTTTACTTTTATTTTTCATTCAAGTAATTTGAGAAAAGTTCTAAGAACAAAATTTTCACCGATTAGTGTAACTCGTATATTATCACTAGTTAATATTAAGTTATTTATTCTTTGACATTATTATTTTTTCTCTTTTCTCATCCCACATCCTGCAACTCTGACGAAAATTTAAGATAGTAAAAAGGCACGAAATAATGGTAAAATATCGTTTAAAAATTATAACAAATGCACAGAGGATAACGATATAGAATTTAAAAAAATTGTACAACTTTAATAAGTAAATAATTAAACAGATTTGTTTATTTATTTATTTACCTCGCATTTAAGACGTGTTATTTAGCGCCGGATCTCGCGATTTAGGGTGGTGATAACACTGCCACCTTCTGTGATAAAGAATGTACTACACTTACGGGACATACACCATAGCAGTACAACCATCTGAAAGAGGGAAATGGTTTTCCGTGGTTTCTCCGATCAACACCTGGCGAATGCCGGAGCAGTACACTAACAAACGGGTCACGGACCGCGCACAATCTCACCTTCCTTTTTCTTGTCCTGTCCTTACCCATTACATATACACACACTTACACTAACAAGCGCTACACATGCCGGGAGACTGGTCGACAGCTTAGAGCTTGTCCCGGCCGGGGCGGTTTCCCCGCTGGTGGGAGATACCTGGTTGGGGAAAACCCCGCTAGCCGACGGTAGGTCGGCGCCGGATCTCGCCATACAGTAGGGGAAAGATCACTTCTACCTCCCCAGAGAAAAAAACAGGCACTACACTTGGGGGATTCCAGGCACTACACGGGGGGATTCCAGGCACATTAACTACCAGGGCTAATGGCCCTGGTAGTTAATGTGCCTGGAATCACTAGACAATCACAAAAACCCTGGGGGGTAGGTACCGACCCCTTTGAGAATCCTAGATGTATAAATAATTCATGGGATATTTTTCAGGAATGAATATTATTGCTTCTCTGGTTAGATACTCATCGGCCGCTTGCGCAGCTCTCTAACGACAGCAATTTACTTTTATCTGTTACCTTATTTCTACGCAGGAGGTTTCTGGTTTTTTGTCATAAAAAAAATTGTGTTATCGCCCGTATTGCCCTTCGTTAAACGTGCACAGTGCAGTCCGGCCGCTGTTGTCCTTACACCAACATTGCAAGTTGTGTGAGGAGGAGAAATCAATTAACACTCCGGTCAATATACATTTACAAATAACGGCATGGTATTCTACTATGTAACGATGATGCGTCCCCTGGTGAGTTGTTTTATTTACTATATAAAAGTGAGAGTATGTGCGTACCATAAAAACTTTAGAACACCTGCATAATAGCTCCGTAACTTGGTAGGAATACTTTTGAATGAGCACAATCAATACAATTTGAATGAGTACAATCTAGCGTTGTTGCCAATGATGTCCATGGTTTCGTTAGACATACAGGAATTCGAAAACAACCAATGATATGTATTACTAATCTACAACGCTCGCAGAAATTTAAAAGAAAGCTCTGCTTTCTCCTTCCATTGAGCAGGGTTTAGTTTCGTTAAGTACCCAGGTTATGGGGTATTTTCAAAATCGTATAACTTAGAAAAAAATCATATTAGTGCATCATTCTTACTTCCTTCGTCTAATACATCTGCTGCGTCATGGCGTAAATCTATAATTTGGCTGTCGCACGAATACCCAGGACGAAAAAGTGTAGATTTTGAAAATAGAAAATCAGTGTAATCGGCATTACGATTGCCTCTCCTATTTTGAGTAATGTTATCATTGGTTTTGACGGCAATTAATCATGTAAAAAGTCAAATCGGAGCATCCCCTCCTAATATGACTCCTGGTAATCCATCAGGATCCACTTATTTATTGACTAATCTTTTGACTTTATCGTCCTGTCTTTTAATAATACCTACATGGAGTCCGTAAAACTTAAAATGATGACTTCAAAAAGGAAAATCATGTCAAACATCATACTGTCGAGTCTTCAAATGTAGCTAAGTGGGAGAGCTGTGAAGATTGGTCCGAAGATCCAGAAATAGGTCTTCCTGATTTTTTGTCAAAAAATGAGATTCTGAAAACGACAAGTATTAAGACAGCACACCTTGGCGCTGAGAAAAGGCTTTAACATTAAATATTGAAAAGTGCCTGAGTGAAAAAAAATCTGTTACCTTTCTTGTTTTATTCCATTGGGTATGATATTACGAATATTGCGTTCTACTGCAATTCACCAAAATCCCCCTGAGAAAAAACACGTGCACTACACTTACGGGACTGATGATCATAGCAGTTCACTCGCCATGAATGACCTCAAAACTCTACAAATATGCAGATTTGGACTAAAATGAAGATGGTTAAATGAAAGCGTGTTAAATAGTACTAAAGTAGTAAACGGTAACTCAATAGGTGTTAAAAACTAAATTAAGTGAAATATTGTTAAAACAATACAAAAGTGGTTTATACCTGTACATTAAGTATTCAAATGACAAAGTGCTGAATGTCAAGATATCAAATGTAAAAGTTGCTACCCTAAATCCAAAATGACACAAATGTGTCAAACACATTAAAGATTACGTAAACTGAACCATACTTACCAACCTACCCTCTCTTGTGTGAGGCGGTAAAATCCTCCTGCTGGTGCAGCTTTTTAAAATACTTTTACTTCTTTGCTTTATTACGTCTTAACACATTTGAAAAATATGACAACAGTGCAATCGATCGTTTAGACTAGTTTTCAGACAATTTTCTTGAACATGTAACTTTAATGTTAGTAAATCATTACATAATTTTAGAAAATTATTTTTCTATTTTCGATTTACGGTACGTTTACTATACGCTTTTCAAACTCGTCTTTTCACTGGCCTCGCTTCTTTGTTGTAGTACTCTGGATCTGAATTACACACACAAGTACGAAATTCGCTAAACAGTCCAAAACTATGCTCCTAAAATTTGTCGAATGATACATCTACTAGAAGACCATTTAGAACATCTCATTTCAAAAATGTTTGCAAATTTTTGGCGTTAGTTCTGTAGTATTAAGAAAGAAGCCTTTTTTATAAGATAATTTCCTTTATATTCCACACATTTTTAGGACATTTCTGTAATTGTTAATTCAGCTAATTACGTCACCCGTGAAGTGTTTTTCCTCAAGTCCAATAAGGAAACCGTCCAGTAAAGGATTATCGCAGATCGCTGTTGTCACTGAGTTAAGCCACAATCCCAAACCAATTGAGGGCCAATATGAGGACCAACGATGGAACCTTGAGACGTCGCGTTCTCATTACAGGTAAATGCGATATATTAGGCTCCTCCGATAATGAATTTGTTTTCACTTTTCCTGGCCACGCGGGTACTTCTACGCATGGGAAGCCTTTGTTCGTGTCCATCGTGGTGTGATGCGCCTATAATTTACGCCTGATGTTCGAATTTATCTCTTTAATATCTACACCTATAATTGCAACATTTGTTGTCTACTCATGCCTCCACTGCTTCAAAGCTGTCGCTGTGACACATATAAAAACATCCTACCAAGATAATATACCCGCGTGTGAATGTTAAGAAATTTTGTCTAAAGATTTCAGCAATCCGTAATTTCACGTTAAGAAATCATTCCGTTTAGGTACGGGATTACTCACATCTGCATTGTTGGAATAAACGGTGTTCTAGAAATGAACAACTTTCGAACTAAACCCATCGGACAGATGGAATTTCTATAGGAAAGACAGAAAAGAAAACGCTGTCTATCCATAAATACACATTATGTTTTATATTTACCGAGACCATTTCATATATGTAGTATACATGGATATTGTCTATCAAATCAACCTTATCTTAATATCTATAACAATACGTATGAAATACAATTTCCAAATAATAATCAGAACTTCCTAACCTCTTTGATGTTTTCCGTAGATATTACAAGAATTGTATACAAGAACATAGAATACTGACAATTGATAGTCGCGAACAATCATTTAAACGATCACACAACACGATGTTCTCTCAGCAAGATTAATTGCTCTTCTATTTCCCGCCAACTTACAGAGTTGCGCTTGACCCAATCTTTCCGTTTCCATTCTAGCCGCGCATTTCGAACATCGCAAAATTTGTAGCTTTTTTATTAATAAAGGAAAACTACGATCTATTCAATGGATAGTGACCACCACTTCCAATTGTTTTCTCTTTTTGTTTTCTACCTCACTTGTTTAAAACCATTCTCTGGGAGACGAATAGGCGGGACATTAAAATCGTACTCTTTACGGTTTAATATACATCTGTGGGTCGGAGATATAGGACACAATGTCCGTCTTTGGCCAAAATGAGATTATTTGTACAATAATATGAGCTTTTTGTCCTCTGTCCAGAGGTATACTACACTATGTCCTACAGCTAATAATGGCGGAGTTACGGTGCTATAAAATGACACCAAGTCCACTTTTACTTAGAGGTATGCAAACCTTCAAACGGCTCTTTTGTAAAATTTAGTAAATGTGACATAGTGTCCTATACCTCTGACCCGTATATACATACACATAGTTATATGATATTCTTACAATTAATCTGCAGAAGTGCCAGAGACTCCTTTCTGCATAATTCCTTGTCTCACGCGCCGTCTCTGCGTCGCTGTCTGGTGATGTGAAGTCTTACGTCACCGCCACCGAGGGCCTTCAACGCCTGGGGACCTGGAGAGGTTGTTCAGGGCATCAACTGATGTTACTGCATTACCTTTGACTGAGAGGTCCTGTGTTCCTGTCCCGACGGTGGCAGGAATTTCGACACTAGCTCGTCAGCTAGGTCGAACACAGTCGCTGTTTGGAGGAGAAGTCTAGTGGCCGGCTGCCGTAACCAGTTTTCCGTCATTTCTTCGATCGAATACAACGCGAATTCCGGAGTAGTGCTCTAACAAACGGGCCGTGCATCGATCTCTCCTTTCCCTTCCTAGACTTATTCCCACCCTTTGCTTACACACACGTATACTTACATGCACTACTCTACCACACATGCCGGGAGACTGGTCGAGAGCTTAGAGCCTGTCCCGCCTGGGGCGGTGTTTTACCGTCGCGCGATACCTGGTTCGGGAAAACCCCGTTAGCTGACGGTAAGTCGACACCGGATCGCACTATCCAGCTGGGGGAAATCACCGCCACTTCAAAAAAGAGAATAACACGCACTTCACTTACGGGACTAATGATCTCAGCAGTTGAGGCGCCTGGAATCACTAACAATCGGCAAGAAGAACGAGCCCATCCAGCTTTGTAGACTCCGAGAGATTTAGGTGCCAGGTAATCGCTTGTAGAATCACCCTGAATCTTGTAACAAGACGGATGTCGGAAAATAAAACTTGTACATGAAATCATATAATGCGTGCACCTATTCCTTCGCAAAAATCACAAAATATAAATATAAATACCGTCTGTTTACACGTGACACTGTTTTACTTGTGTTGGACACCATAGCATTAGGTTAAATCATTTAAATCTTACATTTTTTAATACGATAATAAATTATGGGAATCACCTTCAATTATTATGATGTTTTTAAAACTTTAAATTTTACATGTAAATAAGTATTTCGTAAGATCTGTTATTGTTATTTTTCGCACAAGTTAGCTAATATTAGAATCAATAAAAAGGCTATATCATCCGGTAGCTTATTTCTAACGAGCTTTCTTTACTGCCTCGACGTCGTTTCCTGAATGGCGCAAACATTAATCTGCGGCTATTCGCTGTCATATCCAAGCTCATTTACGGCTATTCGCTGCCATATCCCAGTTCATTTACATATGTGACAATCTGAAAGCTTTTCGCAGATAGGGAAAGGAATTGCGCAAGTATTCACATTCCGCTTACCACAGGTCTCTCCAGGCTTAATCGCCGTCAGGCTGGGTCTTCAGAGCATGGCCGTAGACTAACCGCCTCTGGTGATTTCAGGCCGTAGTATAGAAACGTGCACTGATTGTATTTCTCTCCCATACGTCATATACAGATTATACTGTTCATTGGGAAAAAAGAAATCAAATCGATTTCTAGCGAATTAAATCCTAGCCAGTCCAGTCCAATCCAATCCAAGCGAATTCAATTGAATTGTATCCAATTCATTCCAATCCATTCCAATTCAATTCAGTCGAATCTAATCCAGTTCTATTCACCCTAATTCAATCCAATCCAACCGAATCCATTCAACATCCAATAGGTTTCAATTCAATCCAATCGATTCCAGTTGAATATAATCAAAGCTAATCGCGTCCAATCGAATCCAACCAAATCCAATCGAAATCAATAGAGTCCCTTTAGAGTCCAATCCAATCCAATCTGATCTAATCGAACTGAATCCAATGAAATCGAATGGAATACAATCCAATTCACTTCAATCGAATCGAATCTAATTATATTTGCTTGTCGGCAGTCGATCTCGAGAAGAGCTATCTGCAGCCAAGTTCCCTTTGATGCCAGTAGAAGGTTCGCCTCTAAGTACGCCGCTGATGTGGTGCAATTGGAACCTGTACCTCCTTCCAGGTAAGGGAATTACTTACTTATGGTAAAAATATCGAATTTTTCAAAAAAATAAATATTTGTTGATTTTAATAAGCTCTTTTGTCGACATGAAATTTTAAAATTGAATTAACATTTTATAAATAATGAAACTTTTGGCAGAATAATATATTTATCAAATATGGTTGTGAAGATATCCTTTATTTAGAATGTTTTTGTACCTTATGGTCTCTTTTCCGCGGCTTTGATGCGATGGAGAGACCATTTGGAGTGAATAACAGAATTCGAAAGATTAGAACGCGAAAGGATGTAGGTATTGTAATGGCTTAAAGGCCTTCGGTCTAGACACATAGGATCAAGTAAGCTAATTTGTTTGTAATAATTATCTATTAAATAAATAAAATAATGTTTTTAACAGATAATTGATTAAAAATATTGATGTTTTAATTCTACGTAATGGGCATAAATATAGTATTTTGTCCACTGTTTATGGAATGTTTGTGAATATATATAATACATTTCTGCGAAATTATAATTCTATCCGTCGTTGCCCGGGTATGGTTTTGAAATAATTATATCAATATTTTCGGCAGACAAACCCTGTTCTCCTACACCGACCATTGCAACCGCCCCAACCAGCCTGCCACAAAGTCCCTCATGTTTATCTTCTGAACATTAATGTCGTTTTATTACATGTGGGATTTTTGATAAAAATGTAAAGAGCATTTACCTCCAGCAAACATCGAAAGCATCGAAGGAAATAATGTACGTAATTTACGTAATAATTTACATACATTACAGTTTAATTAGTCTTAAAGTTTTCAGAAGATAATTATTCAGTCTACATATATTTATAATAATTTTAAAGCACTTTTAAGTACAATACGAGAGAGTTAACTAACCTATGTAACTATTAGTGTAGAATATATTCAAGTAAGTGTCTAGTATAGTAGTCTAAAAAGTCTGAGAAGATAATTATTCAGTCTACATATTTATAATAATTTTAAAGCATTTTTAAATACAATACGAGAGGGTGAACAAACCGAAGTAACTATTAGTGTAGAACATATTAGAGTAAGTAATTAACCATTCGTAACAATGAAACTAATTTTGAGGAGATCGATTCATGTATCGAAGTTTTTAAATTCGTGAAAGAACGATTAAACTAAATCAATTTTTTGCTGGCAATGGCAGTGGGTTATACACAATTGCAGTTCAAGTAAATGCAAATATTTAAAAAAAGGGAAAAATTACTGAGACGTGCATTGAAATAATTGCTTCTTCAACCAATATCAAAACTTACCAAACGTTCCTTGATAAGGTATTTATAAGTATTACTAATGTGCGCGCTTTATAATTAAAAAACATTACTCAAGGGTCTAGGAAACCAAAAAATGAACTCTGTTTTCAACACTTAAATTCATCATATTCTATAATATAACCTTAATTTCCAACTGTATGTGTTCAAAATTGAACAAATAAAATCTATAAATGCATTTTCTTTAGTAGCAGCAGTGTAACATTACTTACCTAAAACTCAAATTTTCTCATCTAAAATTATACATATCAAAATAAATATATCGTCTCTATTTTTTAAGTTACTCATGGCATCCAGACCGTTGTGACCTGCATTTAAATAACACTTAACTATATTTACTCAGTAACAAACACTTATAAACAGGGTGGGCGTGGGCGTTCTGAAAATATAAGGAAGGGAAAACACCATTTTATCTAAATTTAATATTCTCTTACAGCTGCGAGACAGTTTGCAAGACGTGCAGCCAAATATATTGAGAAATATCGTAGACTCAAGTATATCGAATAATCGCCAGGTCCAACGACCTTTCTCCCCGTAAATGACGGGATGTACAGCCGCTTTCCTAAGTGCAAGTTCGAGGCACAGCCTTTCAAAGCAACCCAAAGAAGAACATGGAGAGCAAGTCCAGATTTTGATTATACTTGATCGTTGCAGATGCGAGGCAGTTGGGCTACATAATGAGTGATTTGTTAAAGAGATCACAATTTTGTTTTCATTTTACAAGGGTATCCATAGAAAAAAAAGGGTTGATTTCTGCGTCCCTCAAGAAGAAACGTCAAGGGTCTTCAAGCTAAACGAAAGGAAGGGAAAAAAAGGACTAGAAATGTATATTATCTTAACTTTACCTGATCGTTTCATATGTTACAAGAAAGTTTGCTCTAGGTTGTTAGCTCTAGTTTGCTAGTTATTGAGATATATGGCATTTGCAAATGAAAAACGACGCATATGTTTCCCACCCTGTTCGAGATGGTCCATGGCACCAATGCAAGAAAGCACTTATACTCCGAACAGAAATCTTAATTTAATTAATCTTTACAGATGCTGCTAAAGTTTGCTCTACATTTATTGAACGAGAGCACACGTATTGAGAAATGTCACCTGTTCGAGACGATAGCCTTAGCAACTCCATATGAACACTCTATTTCCCTGGCCATGTGTCCTTTAATCTTAACTCTGTATGATCGTTATATATGCTTTTGCCCCATGTTGTTGCAAGTCCACTGAGAAGGACCGTTTGTACTGATTTGAGGAGATTATCACCAAAACGACAGCAACATCCAATTTTTGCCTGCCTGTATCTTTTAATCTTAACTGTTATGATTGTTACGTATGCATTTGTCCAATGTTGAGTAGAGATTGAGAAGAGTTGTTGGTGCAGTTTCAAGAAGATGATCACCAAAGTGTCGCCATATTTCCTGGGCCACATATCCTATAATAATTACAACTGAATCTGATCCTTACATATGCGTTTACCCTACATATACCTTACATATATGTTTGAGAATGGACGTTCTTGCAGATTCGAGGAAATGGTTTCCAAGGCTTCGCCTGATTTATTGGGCGATTCATCCTGTCGTTATTGTAACTGTACCTGATCTTCACAGATGCGTTTGCCCCATATGAATAAAAATGAGCACTTGCTCAGGAGTAATTGTTACGGAGCAAAGTGAGTCTACTCCGCGGCACTGCGCAGAAGCTCCTTTTCTTATGAATAAAAACTTCGTATGTCTCCGAAGAACTTACTTATGTCTCGCGAGCAGTTGCTCGTCGTGAACAAGATATAATGCAGGCTAAGAGTTTTAAAAATTGGTTTCTTTAGTAACAATGAGGTTACATACGTTACGCGCGTCGCACATTTGTGTGGAGCAAAGAGCAATGTTTTCTTGTCTTGTTCTTTAAATTAGAATATGACATGCAGTAACGAAAAACAGGCGCCAGAGGCCCAGCTAGTTTTTGTCGAAATGCTAAGCGAATTAAAAATTATATTTGAAAAGAGCCAGGTTCCGGAGGTACGCTGTGGCCGAAACGAAATATTATAAAGTTTGAAAAAACAGTACTCCGAAAAATTCCAAGTAGAAAAGAGCGATGGCCAATTAACATAAAAGATGTGCAATATGAAAACGCTCCTGAAAGCAAACGCCGATAAAATGTACCAACCATGTCATGCATTGTCCTTTTCGAATCGGCAAAGATTCTAATAGTGTATATCATGAGAATTTCGCCTTATCTTGCAATTTTTTTTAGTCCGCTGCATCTGCATATCAACACACGGTAAAAAATCGGCCAATTTAACCTTGCTTTTCAAACGTGAGTCTACTACTAAGGTCCCTCCGAAATTTTGGAGCAAGTGCTCACTCTAGAGAGTAAACGCTTAACTTTATTCCTACCTATTCTGAGCATTTGCTTGCCAGTTGAGAGTATGCTCAGAGATGGAGAAAGTGCTCAGAGACATCGCAATTGCTCACCCCACTTTATTCATACGAAACTGAGAAGGATCTTCGAAACTCGGAGGAAAGAGAAATTGCTTACTTTTATCCACCCCCCCCTCATTGTTGCCAATGGATCTAGGCTAAGCAGTGCCTAAACTCCTTATTCCTTTTCCTTTATTCAAACGAAACCGAGAAGGATCTCCTAAACTCGGAGCAAAGAGAAATTGCTTACTTTTATTCATACCACATGTTGCGCGTCCACTGCAAAGGGCCGTTTGTGCAGATTCGAGGAGTTGATCTCCAGGGCGGCGCCCTTTTTCCTCGGCGAAGAAGGCCTGTCCCGCTCCTTCCCTCGCTGTACCACAGGCGCAAGGCAGCGAGACTTTCAGGCCACGGCGAGAAATTGCCTGAACAGCGGGTTGGGGGTCATGGCTCGCGACCGCAGAGGAGCCATCGTGGGTGGTCACTTTTCCCGTCCTTTACACCGAGATGACGTCATCGGCGTCGATGTGCACTCCATAGGTGAGTTGCCCCACTTGTTTACATGTTTTGTTATAGAACGGTGTCCTTTGGCGTAGAAAGTCTTTCCTTCGCCGTTGGGACGGTGATGCAAAATCTAATTGTTCCATGTGAAACGTATTGTTCTCGGTAGCTTTTCTGGTAGTTCTTTCATTTTTTTCATTCTAACATGAATCAAATTCTTAATTTACTCTAACATTCATTTCATCATGGTAATATTTTGGTAACATTTGGAAAACTGCTAATATTTTCAAAAATGTACACGAACTTAATAAAATAGCGTATTTTACTTTTAGGGGGGTACTTTTCTTGAAGCACCAGAAACGCTAAACATCTCGTCAAATGGTTTCAAAATGTTTGTTCGCATATATTAAACTAAGCTTAAATAAATTCTCATATTTTCAGTACCTGTATATGTTTTAAGTCAATCAATAGAATTATTTAATACGTAACCAGATAATTGTTATTCATTTAATTTTTATTTGTATTAAATTATTTTAAAAATTAAAATTAAATTAAATACAATTGACTGGTTACATATTAAATAATTCTAATAGTCTTAAAACATAAGATACTGAAAATAACAAAAATTATTAACAAATAATCAACAGAACTAATACACAATTTGCTAAAATACATTTGTAGGTTCAATTATCGTTGAAATCACTTTTACTTTCTCGCTACGAAGTAGACAGAAAGTTATGTAATGCTGCGCGATAAAACGGGAATTTTTCGCCAAAAAACTCATTACAGTAACGAAAAAGTGGATAAATCCAGTTGCTAAATTTATAAAAAACCTATAACACGTGGTGTAGCCAGAATCCATGTTTTGTGGGTCCTTGATACCGAAAAATCGTGTGATGGCAAAGGTCTCTCCGTCTCCCTGTCCGTCTGTGAACAAAGCCAGCGGCTAAATCATTCAGCAGATTTTCTCTAATATAGATATTCCCCAAACGACCTGTGTGATGTCGTGACCCCTCGAGCTTGAAACCGATATTTTCATTTTGGACGGGACTTTACATGAAGTCCCTGGGGCATTTCAAAATTTTCAAAAAAATGGGTTCAATGGTTTTGATTAAATTTTGTTATTGGACATTGTGAAGGACGTTTAAGAGAAAGTTGCAGGTCTCACGTTCGTTAAAAACCTTTACTTTTCAAAAATTGCAAAAGTTAAAATTTTTTCGAAGTCTACCCACAACTTAAGTTTTAAAGGTAGAGATTTTTCCCCTTAATGAAATCTGTTAAAGATAGATTTTGAAATAAGGTCATGTACAATTTTTCAAAAATTTGAGTACTTTTTGCGTAATTTTTCATGAAAATATGAGCGAGAAAGTACGTGCTGTTTTAGCACTACTAGTTTCAAGTTCGAAAGCGAACCATTTACACCAGTATTTTCGTGCCTTCAGAGTTGTTAGATGATTAAGTTCAGCCCTCTCCTAAGGAGCCTAGAACATGGCTTGCGCTTGAGGCATGCCAAATTTTTTGCAGGTTGGATTCCCTTTTGCAAGTTCAACTAACCATTAGGACTCCTTACGTAACATAACAAATAAAACGAAAATGACGTGATTTTTATGACATTACTACTTTCAATTAGATGATAAGAAGCATTTTCAATAATCTTAATTGACTCTCCAACAATCATGAATCTCTCTGTTTCAATAAAGTTAATCATGTCAAACGTTAGTTTATACGATACTGAAACTTTGCGTTTTACAGGAACTGAAATTAAAGATCCCCAAGAAAAACACATCTTACGCTTTTTGACATTAATCCAACAACGACTGGACTTGTTCTCAGTGCTGGAAGTTTCAGAGATTGTGGACTGCGCGCTGATTTTCGTTGAGAAACAGTATCGAGGACAAGGTAAGGCTCTTATCTTCATAGTACATTCAAATTTAGTGGGGGAGGACAATTTACAAGGTGATTAAACTTCTCTTTCTGAACAGTACAAAAGTTGATTTTAGAATAATAGAATGACCACTAAAGTTAACCATCAATAAATGGGGAAAAAGTCTTAAAAGCACCTACGTATAATTTAACCATTTATAATTAATTATCAAGCAAAGAATACTACATACACTAGTTACACATTTAGCACTTGTAATTGTTAGTAATTAAAATGGAAATAAAGAACAAATCACTAATTCAACAGTCTCATTAAACCGAAGAAACCATGCTTTCTGATTAATAAAAGCTCAATAATTCTTAATGGTACACTTGAAAATATAGCATTCGTCTATCACTTTACACGCTTATAAAATATGAAATTGTGCAGCACTTACGTAGGCGAATATCTAGTTCAAAATTCTATCTACACTTCTCACATTCCTAATATTTAATACAACTGCAATGACATTTATGAAAGTTAAAATTTTTTGTGATTGCATTGAAATTTAACAACATTCAGTGCGAGAGAAGCTGAATCTTTCTTTACAGTATTTTCGTATTTATGAAGGTGTTAACTCTTACAGGTCTTTAGTTTTGGTTTGTCACAAGACGTAGCAGTTGGTGCAGTTCGTTGAACCAACAATGCCAGAAAGAGGCGCACTATTTAAATGCTTTCTCATGTTTTCTTTCTTCTCTTATTTTCTTAACTTATTTTCTTAAAACCAATTAATTGCTTCATTCTTACAAAATCAACAGTTACAATCAACGCAAATCAATATAACAAAGCCAAGTCGTTAGTCAAAAGTCGTTAGTCGATAGTAGTTAGTCGTTAGTCGATAGTCGTTACTCGATAGTCGTTAGTCGTTAGTCGTCGATAGTCGTTAGTGAGCCAACTGTATGCGCAACTGGTGCCAAATCCAAGAAATCCGTTGCCAGTGGTGCTGAACAGCATTAATAACGGTTACATGACTTTATGATATCCCAATCTGTGTCCATATTAACACGTTTCAGCCACTACTTGTAAACCTCATTATCAACCAACCTTTATCATTACCAACCATTTACCAATATTGTTGTTTTGCAATACTAAATTTGTGAAATTTTTCGAACATTCAGAGGATTTTCCACAAACCGTGCGGAATTTTTATGATCGTATTTTATCTATTCGAGAAAAATATTAAAGGAAAAGAATGAAGTAGTGTTATATTATACAGAGGTTCTACAAAAGTACCTCATTTTTCTAATCGTACTTAGTTGTATTCGAGAACAAAATTAAAGAAAGAATTTGGACCCGTAATTGAGAAATTAAAATTTTTTATATGGACTATATTTCACGCAAAATTCTGCAAAAACTACTCGTGGTTTCCAAAAATTGAATACGACCTTTTTTGAAGAACGTTTATTGAGAACAAATTTCATTCAGAAAAATCTCTGGCTTTAATATTATAGTTGTAGGATGTTGCTGAAACATTTTAGAACTTGAGCAACATAAAAATATTCAGAATATTGAATGAAAATGCGACGTGCACTATATTTTAAACAGGTTTTGATGTAATTAAGAGAACTATTAATGAAAAAATTTGGAGCCATATTTCAGAAAGCTTTGTAAAAGTAGTTAAAGCTATCTGCAATATCTCATCGAAAATTAACAAAACCAGTTTAAATTCCCAGGCCATTTGTTTGAAATTTAATTTAACATAAGCCAGATCCATCGAGGAATATGTGATGAAGAAAACCTACTGAACGTGTAGGCTCTAGCATTGACTGCAGATGGGCGGACACGCAGAAGTTTGGCCGTAAACCAAATATATGTATCAAGGACCGACAAACCGTGAGTTCTCACTGCAGAATCTGTTGGCGGAAGTAACTTACTACGTAGTTAAAAAAAGAAGACTCAATATTTTCGTATTAAGATCTCACAAAACGAGTTTGCATGCTGAAAAGTCGCCGTTTTTTTCTTCAGCTTTACATTATTTTCTCTATAGTACAATATTACTGTGCGAGAAATTGAAATTAGAAATGATTGAGATAAATGGCAACTGACGAATTCAAAATCTGATTTTCGAATATTGTATTTTCATATGAAGCAGAAAGAGAATCGTCTTAAGAGTTATCGTTATCAGCTCTGTGAATATCATTTATTATGTAATCGTTTCTTTGCAACCCATCGAAAAGTGTTCAAGAGAATAAAAGAGAAAAATATAAATTAATTTAAGGGAGGACGTGATTTGAGAAACTTGTCATTCTCCCTAATGTAGTTTAACCAAGATAGGAAACAGCCAAAAAAGGAAATAATACAAAGAAATAATATCTGCTGGAGTTGTCCTTCAAGGTTAACTTTGGGATGTTCGTGCCGCAAATTGGTTTCACCAGCCTACCTACCCCTTTTTTTTCTTCAAAATCTTGAAAAACAATATTTTTGCCGAAAAGGAGTTATTAACGAAATTATCTTGCTTTCTTTTCAGGTCTGGCCGCACGTCTGTTGATGGCCGACTTAAAGCAAGCAGCTGATAGAGGATACTTGGCTGCGAAAGGAGACTGCACCTCTTTCCCAGCCACGAAAGTTGTTGCAGACGCGTTTAGCAACATTTGCGCCGTGCCGTACACGGAATACACATCCAACGGCGAAGTCATTTTTGGCAACGCTTCACCTCCTGATGACGTCATCGTGGTGGGTGCTTGCCGCTTGCAAAAAGAAGATCGGTTTCGTGTCGAATTGACGGAATCCGAAATACAAGAGGCCCGCAAAAATTATTTAGCTCATTCCAAAAATATTTAAGGCAGTTTTGTAAATCTTTTTTTTGTAAAATTTTATTTGAATAGGTAAATTACCGAGTTAGGTAGCTCAGGGCGTCAACTAATCTAACAGCAGTAACTGTAATCGAGACGTTCTAGTGTTCGAGCCCCGACGGTGGCAGGATTTTCGATACTAGCTGCTGGCTGGGTCGAAGTTAACCGCTGTCTGGAGGAGAATTTTAGCGGCCGGCTGGTCTGGCCGGTAGTTTTCCGTGTTTTTTCCGATCAACACCAGGTGAATTGCGGGTCAGGAATCTAACATTCGGGACACGCACCACGCGATATTTCTTTCTTCCTTGTCCTTTCCTCAGCTCTTACTAACACGAACTTACACTTAGAAGCACTACACTACAACATATCAGAAGAACAGTCAGGAGCTCCAGACAATACCAATCCCCTTATCTCGACGAGGGCCGTCTTTATTTAG